TTCAGGTATTTCCAAATACGAGTGAAACATGATTATTTTAATCATCGTGGTTATCCATAATGATATTCTATATAATACTCTTCTCTACAAACAATAACTAATTTCCATTCATTGACAAAAACCGCATTCGCTAGTTTCATCGATTTCTTGAAGACTTGACGTACCAACAGGTCACAGTATATAATCCAGGCATCCAAATTCTTTTAATTTCAACAACATGTTCGCCAAAATTTTGTTAATTTCTTCTCCACCAGTCTGACGCAATAACACTGCCCACTCTGTCATGTCCGCGAAATCTTCCACCTTTCCATCAAACATGCCCATCTGTGTCCCTAAGAAGAACGTGGCAATGAAAAATCCAAACAGACCCCGCTTCTTGTAATCCTCGTAGAAAGCTTCGTACGAATAATCGCCCCCGTCTATATCATTCTCCTTGAGGCATTGTATCAGGGAATCGTGATACGCTCTCAAAACATTATCCAACATAACTTTGTCCAAGTCTCTGGCAGAGTGCAAACAGAGGAACGTAGACAGATCCAAAATCGGTGAACCGTAGCGTATCAGCGCAAAGTCGATGAATATGACTTTCAGCTCGTCACTCTCTCTCTTGAACAACATGTTATTAATCGTGAAGTCCCCGTGACACAGAGTGGAAAGAGGCTCCTCGATCTCGGTGAACTTTAAGATCAAGTCTTCGAACATGTTCGCACACGTTCGAGCTTCGAATTTGTCGCAGAATTCTTTGTCGTAACCTTGCTTGCGAAGGTAGTCGAGCGTTTTGGTAGCGGTTCCGTTGAATATGTATCTCACGTTCGACTCAGCATGGTACCTGACCTCTTCAATGGCGTTCACGAAATCGAAGAATTCCTTTTCGCGAGTCTTCTTCGCCGCGTACGCTGTAGCGTGGAACCGCGCGATCTCTCGGAACGCGGCCAACGTGTACTCCAATGGCGTGTCGTATTTCCATTTGCACACACTGTAGCCACGTTCGGTGCCCACGTTCTCCATAACGATCACCGAGTCGGGTGACAATGGTTTATCCGTGGCGTAGATGCAACGAGGAACTCGATCGTAATATTGGGCGAACTTTTGGTAAAATAATATCTCGTTGTGGAACTGTTCCGTGGATCTCATCAGCTCTTGCACTGTTTCTGCCGGCATTTTCTTCACCACTATATTAGTCGACTTGGCTCTCTTCTTCGCCTCGTCGTTGTCGACGGGACTGGTGTTCGAGACGATTTTGACGAAGAATAGATCCGAAAGGAAGAACGAATCGGTTGGCACAGACACCTCGTAGCGCACGTCCTCGAAACCTTTGCCGAGAATAGAGCTCACCTTAGTGACCAACGGCCCCAACCAGACCTGGCTGTCCTCCATCTGTTCGCTCGTGATATTACCAATGATACCGTGAGAATCGGAACGATCTGTCTCTCCTCTCAGCAGCCGCGATCGCTAACTGATGGTGAACACTACCAACTGAGAGTAAACTCGTTTTGTTTGCGCCGAGAGAGTGTTGACTGTCCGTGACGAAACGATAGACAAGAGGCAGAGTGGGAGAGATTCTGTAGTGATAGTGAATCACTGACATGCGTGGCCAAACCTAAAGATACGTTCTTAATGATTCAAAATTGTAAAAGGTGTGTGTGTGTTGTGTGGGTTTGTGTACAGTTGGCAGAGACTGTGATTGTTGGAAGACCACGGACTTTTCTTTAAATTTGTATTTTTGAATATTGGGGGAAACGAGATTTTTTTACGTGCTCGTTATCGTAATACTGTGATGCGTGGGATATAGGTCCGCTGTATAAAATCTGATGACTATTCGTTTGTGAAGATAGAATCTCCTCAGATATATACGATAAATCATTGTATCTGGCGAGTTAAATCAGAACTCTACGAACTTTGGGCCATCTTCCAGTTTACAAATACTAGAACTTGACCCATCATCAGCTGACAGCTGACTGTCGAGTCGCGAATTATATAACTAATAAGAGGCTATTGACATTCACGTATATGTTGTTTGTATATTATTTATTGCATATTTCCTATTTGGATCTTTAGCGCCGAGAATATTTACGACTAGACCGCGAATATTTATGCGGATTCATATCTTAGATTAATTAAAGCTGCCTTTGTACTGATAAACATTAATTAGAATTTATCACACAAAGGAAAGTATGAAAACGTGAGAGAACTCAAGGTTCTATTTTTTGAAAAATTTAGAATGAAAATTTAGAATCTCTCAGTGTTCGATGTTTGTGGCTTATCGCTCTAGCCTAATATTTCGAGCAATAGATAATTACGCTCGCGCATGCTCGTTTCGTAGTCTCGTTTCGTGCGATACGATATGACATAAAATGAAGGAAGAGTTCAACATGTGTTTCATACAAGAAAAAAATATGAAACATTTCAATTTTTTGCAGTGATTTGTTGAATCGTGTTTATTTATGTTAGTGTCAAGTTTTATCGTAGAATAGAAATTTGTATAAATGACTAACATTTTCAGTTACAAATTGTTTCATTTTTGAACGTAAAAACTACATCTATTCTATCAACGAGGTTAGATACTAATATTCTCATTTCTATAATTCTTTTAATTATCTAAAAAACATTTCTTATAATGTTTTCTTTAAAACATATTCAAGCAAATTTGACGCAACTATTTCTACAACGTCACGTATGAGAGGAAGAATTGAACTGAAGTGTCACCGAAACCTCGACCAATCTGCAAGCTTCAGTGCTTCAACAACTTTTGCAAGCTCCCTTCAAAATCATCAAGCAGAATCTTCTGTTCTCAAATATTTCCTTAACGCTCCAACCTACGACAAAATCCTTCTCTCTCGATTTTTCGTCCTCAGCCCAATCAGTCTCGTTTAATTCTGGAACCGATTCCTGCTCGTCTGGACTCAAAGCAATTCCATTTCTCTTTTTTCTTTCCTGTCTACTGCCCTTTCTCTCTCTCTCTCTCTCTGTCTCTCTCTTAGCGAAGATTCGTTCGACCGGGCTCGAAAGCGCGATGATCCCCGACAAAAAGAGACCTCAAGAGGAATTTCTGCGAACAATACGGGACCGACGGTGTGGCGGCGAGAGGAGAAGAAACAGGTCGAGAATGGATGATAAAGAAGCAGCGAGCGGCTCGAGCCAGGTGGAAACCACGATCCAGAAAGGCAGGCAGCGCGAAATCGTCTTCTTGGCTCGTGAAGATGAAATTAAGTGAATTGGCTGCGCATGAGTGGGCCCTTCTGACGTTCCACGCAGAACGAAAGCAGCGATGCCAGGAAGTATCCTCCACTGTCGCTTCAGACTGTTTGCGACGTTATGTAACGCGGTTAACTATTTTGTTCTCTGTCGTGTTACAACCTTTGGATTTCATTTTTATTCACGTGATATTAGTGGGACACGGATGACTAATTTATGTGAGATTTTTTGTATGGAATTTTAAGTTCTATTTTAAGATGCCATTTAAAGGGTTGAAAGGGTTGAAAGTGAGAATGTTTTAAAACCAAGGTTTCCAGATGCAAGTTACATGCTGAAGAAAAATATATTTCAATGTCAACTTTAATGAAAGGATTGATTGATACATTGATACTGTATGGTAGCATCCAGAAATATCAATTACTTGTATTGTAGATATTTATATACTATAATGTACAAATTAAGAATTTAATATAAATTACTTAATTAATAATTAAGAATTTAATATAAATTAAGAATTTATAATATACAGATGAAGGAATTAAGAATTTGTATATTGTAATACCTGTATCTGTATTATGTAATCTGTAATTATCTATCATGTATCGCTTACATAATTATATGCATAATTATGTATCTATAATTATAAACTATATGTATAATAACTATAATTACACTATAAACTATATCTATAATAACTATAATAATTATGAACTATATGTATAATAGCGTACACTACACAATTAGTTACAAAAAGGAGTAATCGTATAGATAAGTATTAGAAACAGAATTGCAAGAGGAATGTAATATAAAAGAAATATAAAAAGAAATTTGAAAAATCAGAAATGACCGTTCATATCAATCCACCATATATATATCCATATATATATGGGACCATAAAAATACTTCTCGCTATTTCTTCTGAGACGATAGTTTTGCATAATCCTAGTCAACGTTGCTATTTTAAATGATTTATGAGGGGGGAGGCCACTCGACATCTCACTGCCATGCTTGCGCTCACATAGAATAAAAATGCAAATTCGATCGGTGGCACATCCTGTTCTTCGCTATGTAGCTCTCCTTTTTTTTATCCTGAAATGAAATTTACAAAACTTTTACAGCACCGTCATCATATTTATATACTGTCACTAATAATAATATTTAATTCACGACGAAAATTCAAATTCAACCTGTCCTCATCCTTCCTCCTTCTCCTTCACTTGCTCTAAATGAACTTTACAAACGAAGACAGGTCACTCTTTAATTTTTCATCGAGCATCGCAAGACTCGTGCCTCGCCGTCTAATTTAATTTAATTCCTTGGGAAATTAGCCACCTACAGCCTGTCGAATCAGGCGTATTTTCCCTCCCCCCGTGACGTTTCATTGGCACGATAGGACATAAAAAAAGAAAAGAAAAGAAGAGAACCATTTGGCGAGTCAACAGAGAGAAAGAGTCGGTCTCTATTTGGCAAATGGCGCGGGTTATTCGTATCAGCGGAGTATTCCAACGAAATTGATTAGCTTTCTCTGTTCGAGCAGAAACACGCGAGAAAGCTTTTCCAGTTCGAACAGCACCTGCAGCGTTTTCGTCGGCATCGATCGAAGTCCTCCTCCTCCTCCTCCACCCTTGCATCTTTCCGCGGTTTAAATAAAATATTCCGGTAAACCTGTTTCTGCCGCTTGGCTCTCGAGCTTCCATCTCCCCCTCTTTTGCCACCCCCTGATGCACTTTCCCCCCCGGATGGGAAAATAAGTTCGCCGGAGCAACGATAATTTCTGTTCGTCACCCTGTCTGTTATTCTCTCGTCGAAAATTCCGCGAGACGTAAAGACGGGGTTGGTTAAGAAGGAACATCAGCCGGTACTCTTCAAGGCTACAAACCGAGGCAGATTAAATTTCCATTGCAAATTTCATTCGATATGGCTCTTCGGCTACGTGACCATTCATCCCTCACCCCCTTCTCGAGCTGTCTTTCATTTATGCAACGACGAGCCGCGTCGTCGAACCCTCAGACGCGGAAAATAATACGCGTTAAACTGATTATCGATTATCGGCGGCCGTTCCAGTCGACGCAGTCTTGTAACAACTGATCCATCGAGACTGTATAATGAGCCGGTTGTGCTCGATGGATGTAGATCGATATTGATGCAGACACGCATGTAGGTATTTATAATCCTTAATTGATACTCTTAATTGGCGTGATGCTCGAAGTTGAGAGTAGTTGAAAGAAATTTTACATTGCTCGATTTTGGAGTTTTCTTTTCTTTTTCTTTTTCTTCTTTTCGTTCGAGTTAATTTTAACATCGATGTCTGTCGGAAGGAATTTGTAAATTGAATAAGTTGAATTTTTGTAACATAGTGGGAATTATTTATTGTGATACTGCTCTGAATGTTCAGTATATTCCGTGTGTAAAATTGTTAGAATTCAATTATTTATTTTGATTTATTTGTTGCGAGTCTTTTTAGGAATACGTACTCTGAAAAGAATATATAATGTTATATAAATTCGAATGTGCAAAGATACACGAAATTGCAAAGAAATATTTAAAATACAGAATGAAGTTACAATACTTAGAAAATGAAACAAATTTCTATCCAAATTGTGCTTATAAAAATACGAATTTGTATCAGTATCTTATCCGTTGAAAAATAAAAATTCCTTATGATTCCTATTTAAATTTGAATCAAACGATCGACAAGGAAGAGCGATACATTTACTATTGTTTGAACTTTTGTTGTCTCTGCACACGTAAATATTGCGTAACAACTAATGGTGCATTGAAATGTGAAACATGTGAAATTGCCATGAAGTCGTTACTATGCAAAGATCGCTGCGAAGATGTTATTGCCATACGTGTTCGGAATATTTACATGGATGCACGCAAATTTATGTGCTTTATGTCTGCGCGAATGTTCGCAATTGCATTTCACCGTTCAACAATTTTTTTTTTTTTTAAAAGTCGCAAAAGTCGGAATCAATAATCTTCATAAAAAATTCAGTAATAATAAATATCTTCATCAGTGGTACCTAAATTTGTGATGTTCTATATTTCTGAACTTTGTGTTCGCTCGAACATAATGGAGTGAGCAACATATAGAGTGACTAAGTTGTAGGTTTGTTTCACGATGCACAAGAAAAAGATCTTATTTTAACAAAAAAAAAAAAAAAAGAACGAACCTTATTAGCATTCAAAGCTCGAGGACGTCATA